GTACTTTTGCCACTAAACAAATATTTTGTGTGACGACACCTGAAGTACTGTGTCCAGGCGTGGGTCCATCCCTTAGTAAGGGATAAAAAACTGCTTGAGGCATTTCAAAGAAGGTTCACTCGGATGATCAGTGGACTGCAGGGCAAGTCTTACAAAGAAAGACTGGCGGCCCTTGACTTATTCTCTCTGCACCGCCGACGCCTGAGAGAGGACTTGATTGAGTCTTTCAACTTCTCAAAGGACTGTCAATAGCAGACAGATCCTTGTTTACCCTGAATGTCAATTCAACCTTCGGAGGGTATGTGCTGAAGCTGATGAAACCACGGGCCAACGGAAGTGCCAGGGCACCACTTTTCTCTCACCGCGTGGTAAACGCATGGAACAAGCTTCCATCGGCAGTAGTAGCAGCATCTAGTGTTCTANCTACAGTTCAAACGGAGACTAGACAACTGCTGGGACGAATTGTTCCCAGAGTATGACTAGCACAACTCCCAGTCACTTCCTGCATCCCCCTTCTGTACCCATTTGTTTATTTCATCATCAACCCTTTACATCACGCACCACGCACAATTACTAAACCATTTTTTTATCAGCCCCCGTGAAGCTCTCATGGCGGGAGTAGCAGTTCGCTGAGTTGCTGCGCCTGTCAAATGATTGAGACTGCTGATTTCCCGAGGGCCATCCTGCTCTTCATCTCTTCTCCTGTAGGTATAACATCCATCACACAACTGTGGAATTATCTGGCAGTCGTCAAACAGTGGGAACTACAAGCGAACAAGTGCAAGAAACTGGACGTTCACCGGCCGAAGCCTACAGTCCTGTGAACCGAACTGAGTACAGTGGGTATGAACACATTTCGTTGCTGTATTCGAGTTTGTGCCGGAGACAAGGACTGCATAAACGTAGACAAACGTTGCACGTATTCCAATGAAATCCATGTTGTGTGACATGGAAAACTCCCCAGGCACAGGATCTTCAAAATCCGTGTCTCATGTTCGCTGATTATGTAAAAATGACAGGATTAGACCTACAAAGG